ACCAGGGTTCCAATCCAGAAAATCTGGCTCCGGAGTCCATGCTCTTATTCATTATACTGCCTCCATGATGAGCTTACACTCTAAATTATTATCATTCACAGTAAGTTTTTCATCTGCTATGAGTCATTTAATAATCATAACAGAAATTGCAATACATGTCTTAATAATGAGTGAATAAAAATTATTCAAAGTCTGCAAGGATATGGACAGCATATCTGTTGAAGAGTTACCAAAGATGTCAACATTTCATTCTATCAGGAAGATAAAGACTCCAGTGGCTCTTGAACTGTAAAATATCAGCTGACTAGACATACCCCATCCAGACTGATAACTTAGAAACATTTCACCTATTCTAGATCTATCAAGATCACAGATCACCAAGCTAGACAAGAGATCATCAAAATCGCCAAATTACGAAATTGTTATAGCAACACAAAAATTCAGAATTAAAGGGTAGAATTACTGAAATCATGGAACACCCCTGGAGCATTGACACAATCACCAAAGCTGGCCCTTCTCTGAACTGCTAGAGCTCAGTCCCCTCCCAAGCTCACAAAACAAAGATAAACTTGAACTGGGTATAAAAGATGAGATTTGTTAGAAATCAGAATTCAGCGTTGTTGGTGATCTGACTTAGACCTAACTTCACTACGACTCTTACTTTGACACACTTAGGACCTTCATCACTTGCCAGGCACCTGGTAACCTGCACTCTGTAACCTTCACAGGAACATTTCTTATATTCCCACCTAGGCTCTAAACTGCCACAGGGTAAGCTTTGCACAAAAACATGTTGTGTTCTGACAATATCTAGAACAAAAATGAGGAGCCTATTAGTCTCAGTAAATATCGGCTGAATCAACGACTGAGTGATAAGAAGAATGCAAGGAAAAAGGAACAAGGAATAACAGACAAATTGCAAGGCAAAATGTATCAGCCTAAGACATAAATTATCATGTGTTCTTCTTCCCCAGATTATCTGAGTCTCAAAAGAGTATAAAATAACAGACTGACAAGCAGTCATCTAATTATTTTAAATCATTTTTTATTTTTCAGTTACAGTTGACATACAGTATATTTGTTTCAGGTGTACACCCAGTGATTAGACATTATATAACTTACTAAGTGATAATCCCAAGAAATCTAGTACCCACCTGACACCATACATGGTTATTAGAATATTATTGACTATATTTCCTATGCTGTACTTTGCATCCCCATGATTATTTTGTAATTACCAATTTGTACTTAATAATCCCTTCACCTTTTTCCCCATCCCCTCAATCTCCCTCCCATCTGGAAACCATCAAAATGTTCTCTATGTGTCTGTTTCTGTTCTATTTGTTCGCTTATTTTGTTTTTTTGAGTAAATTGTTGATAGATATGTATTTATTGCCATTTTATTGTTCATATTTTTATCTTTTTTTCCTTCTTCTTCTTAAAGAAGACCCTTTAACATTTCATATAGTATTGAGTTGGTGATGATTTGCTTTTCCTCACTTTAATATTTTTTGTCAATCCCTTCTGTCCTGCAAAGTTTCTTTTGAGAAACCAACTGACAGTTTTATGGGAGCTCCCTCCTAGGTAACTAACTACTTGTCTCTTGGTGCTTTTAAAATTCTGTCTTTGGGTTCAGTTCCCGCTAAAGGCATGTACCTCAGTTGCAGTTTGTCCCCGGCCCTGGTTTGGTCATGCAGGTGGCAACCACTCGATGTGTTCCTTTCAGGTCGATGTTTCTCTCTCTCTACCCCCCCCCCCCACTCTATCTGAACAAAAAAAATGGAAAAATGTCCTCGGGTGAGGATAAAAAAAAAATTCTGTCTTTAACCTTTTGCATTTTAATTGTGTCTTGGTGTAGGCCTCCTTGGGTTCATCTTGTTGGGAACTCTCTGTGCTTCTTGGACTTGCATGTCTATTTCCCTCACCAGGTTAGGAAACTTTTCCATCATCTTCTAAAATTTTTTATTTATTGGTTTGAGAGAGACAGACATACAGACATCAATTTGTTGTTTCACCTATTCACACATTCATTGGTTGCTTCTTGTATGTACCCTTACCAGAGATCTAACCTGCAACCTTCGCATATCAGGATGACACTCTAATCAACTGAGCTACACTGCCAGGGCCCATGATTATTTTTTCACATAGGTTTTCAATTTCTAGCTCTCTCTCTTCTCCTTCTGGCAACCCCATGATGCAATCGTTAGTATGCTTGAAGTTATCCCCGAGGCTCCTTATACTATCCTCGGTTTTTTGTATTCTTTTTTTTTTTTGCTGTTCTGATTGGGTGTTTTCTACTTCCTTATCTTCCAAATCACTGATTTGACCATCTGTTTCATCTACTCCACTGTTGATTCCCTGTAATGTATTCTTCATTTCAGTTCATGTATTCTTCTTTTCTGACAGGTTCTTTTTATGTTTTATAGTTCTGTTTTTATGTTTCCTTTCTCTTTGTTGAAGTTCTCACTAAGTTCATCTACTCTTCCCTTAAGTGCACTTTATAACCAGTGTTTTGAACTCTGCATCTAGTAAATTGCTTGTCTCCATTTTGTTTAGTTGTTTTTCTGGAGTTTTGTTCTGTTCTTTCATTTAAGATATGTTTCTTTTTCTCATGTGGCAGACTCCTTGTTTGTTTCTATGTACTATATTAGGTAGAGCTGTTATGTCTCCAGGCTTGGCAGAGTGACCTAATGTAGTAGGTGTCCTTCCTATAGGGTCTAATAGCACAGCCTACCTGTTCACCTGAGCAGGGCACTCCACCCCACCCTGTGGGCTGTATACACCCTTCTGTTATATATGAGCCTTTATTGTTGTTGGTACCTCAGATTTACCCCCAGGCTGACTGGCTTTGAAGACTGGCTGCAAACACCATGGAGAATCAGCTGTGCAGCCCCCACCCCCCAGATCAGGACTTAATTCAGTGGGGCTCTTGTGTCCACTGAGTCTGCCCCTTGAGTGTGTCACTTGTAGAGGTGGTTGGGTGGTGCTTCGAAGCAGTCTAAAGCTGTCTACGAGGTATGCTGGCTCTGGGGACACCCAGGGAGTGCAGGACAAAATCAACTGCTGCCTTAGAGAGATGCAGGCCAAGGTCAACCACTGCTTTAGTTCTGCCTGGGGCCTCCCAACAAGAGCTACAAAGCGATCTGCAGATGGCCGCTACTTGTGCTAGGTTTAGAAGTGCCCAAGTAAGACCAAGCAGTGAACCAAGACCAGCTACCGCTAAGGCTGGGCTTAGGGGCACTTAGTGAAAGGTATGGGACATGCCGAGGCCAGTTGCTGCTTGTTTGAGAGATTTTAGGAAAGTCTGAAGCATGAGCCATAACAGGCCATTCGTGTGGAAAAGCCACTGGAAACAGCTTGGGTGGGCCTGAAAGTTGGTTAGGGCGGGGTCTCAGAGAATCACCAGAATGGGGCGAACAGTGATAGGTAGGCTGATGGAGACTGAAATGTGACATCCACCTGCCAGCTCTATTGGGGAAGGGCTCAGCAAAGGAACAAAGGCCTCTGCCAGCACTTCTGTCTGGGAGAAAGCTGTCCCTCCATCTCTGCCCTGATGCCCAGTAATTCAGTTCCTCCCATTATGTTCCTGGGGCCCTTCAAGCTGCTGCTCCAGTGCTGGAGTTCAAAGGGAGTGGGTCTGGGTAAGTCCACATGCCAGCCCTTTAAGAGGAACTGTCTGAGACTCCAACAGCCCTCCTCTCCCTCAGCCTCAATCCCCGCTGGTTTTTACAGCCAGACGGTATAAGGACTTTTCTTCCTGGCACTGGAACCCTGAGGCTTAAGGGCCTACTGTGGGGCTGGGACCCCTTGCTCCTCAAGGGGGACCACCACAGCCAAGATATCCCTCCCAAATTTTATCAGCCACAGGTGGGTGTGAAACCAGCCCATTCCGTGTCTCCACCCCTCCTATCCGTCTCCATGTAGGATTTAAAGTCATCTTTAAATCCTTAGTTGTAGAACTTCCATTCAGCTATATTTCAGACAGTTCTCAATAATGGTTGTTCTATAGTTTAGTTGTAATTTTAAGGTGGTTGTGGGAGGATGGGAGTACCACATTTACCTACACCTCATCTAATGATTTTAAAGATGAAAAGCGAATTGTGTCTCTGTACCTTTAATCAAAAGCACCTTGATCATATTTGGTATTTAACCAGTAAATTAAAGAATAAAATCTTCTTTTTTGTTTCTTTTGTAAGGACTGGGTGTTAAACAAGTACAACAGTTTGAGAATATTATTCTATTGAGTCTTCTGATCAACCTGAGGTTAAAAATATGTCTGTAGGATTATTAAAACCAAACTGTCTGTCAGTATCCAAGCAAGACTCAAACTAAACTCCCTTTCCTTGTCTCTTTACATATACCTATAATAATACTGACCTACTTTAGAGGACTATCATGAGGATTAATCAGCTTAAAAATGCTAAGTACAGCCCTGGCCGGTTTGACTCAGCGGTTAGAGCGTCAGCCCGCAGACCACAGAGTCCTGAGTTCGGTTCCCACTAAGGGCATGTACCTTGGTTGCAGTTTGTCCCCGGCCCCAGTTGAGGTTGTGTGGGTAGCAAGTATCTCTCTCACATCAATGTTTCTCTGTCTCTCTTCCCCCATCTCTCCCTCCCGCTCTATTTGAAGATAAATGCAAAAAAATGTCCTCGGGTGAGGATAAAAAAAAAATGCTAAGTACATTTGTAATAGTGTCAACAATAAAAAAAAAAGCTAAGTACATCAAGATAAATAAAGCTTATAATATGTAGATATAGTTAACCACATTTACAATTAACAAATGTGCCATGATACAAGCCACTGTGCTCTAAATACTGCAAATGTTTTAAGTCACAAATAACACCTCACATTAAAGATGCTCATTAATAAATACATATTTTCTAAAACATTCAAATATCTTTAAAGAAATAGGCTGAGTACCATAGAAAGAATTACTTACAACTTTGATTAAGCACACCAGAAAATAACACTATTAAATGACATTTGCTTCCGATCCCTAGGCTTCTGGACCAGAGCTGTCTACTCAGCTATCACAAAAGTCAACACATCTCACCAAGTTTGATTGATACCATTATCATCATCATAAGAAAGGGTGTACAGCCTCCCAGACCAACTGCCACTCCTAATGAGGAAGGTACAGAGCCCCTAACAAGTATAGAGGTAAGATCTGAACACTTCCTATGACACCTTCTGTCTTTCACAGAGTTACGCCCATGGTTGTTTAAACAAGCACTTCAATAACAGGAAGTCATTGTAGGATTTCTTCTATTTCCTTTCAGCTCAGCTAGTTTGCTTTTAGCAAAAGCTGATTGACGTAATAGAGTTATTAAGTCCTTCAGATGCCAGAAAGCAAATTGATAAGCTAGTTCAACGTGTTACTTCTACCAGGATTAGTAGCAACCACTACTCTGGGAATTGAGGCTTTTGAGATGTTCTGCTTTATAAATCTCATCTATCAAACACTGCAGAGCTATTACATATGGTGATTGGCATTATGGAAATGCTTAGACTGAATACAAAATGTGAATGTGAATTGGATTAAATTACCTTCAAGAAAGAGAGAAACTAACCCAGGAGAAAGTAAAAGCAACCAGTCACAGATATGAACCCCACAGGGTTGCACAAAAATGTGAGAGTCTGCTCATAAATTGTTATCCTTGGGGTTTGCTATGAAAAGGCTTCCTGGGATATCGTGCAGAATTTTAAAATTTTAACATAGTCAAATTAGATTAAACTAAATGCACCCAACACAGTTCTTGTCTACTCGTGATAGGAAGAAAGGTTAAAGGTTTACAGTAATTCAGACACCCCTAATAACATTAGGATTAGTTTATGCTAATACCAATATGGGAAATCAGGGTAAATATTGGGAAAGGAAAACTGTCCACTTAACTGAAGAGTAGTATTTACAATGTGGCTGGGTGGGAATAAGAGAAGTATGGTAAACTAAGGTAAAATTTTTCAATTTTCTCTATAGGCAACTAGTTCCTATTTTAGCTTAATAAAATAATTCAAGATTTGCTGAAATGTTAAGTTACAGATTAATCACTTTACTTATAAAAAGTCATCATTTAGAAGAAACTCATGTTTTGTTTGCTTGCTTTATTCAAAAAGGCTGCTCTGGCGTGGCTGGCTCAGCAGTTAGAGTGTCAGCCCTCAGACCAAGGGTTGCAGGTTTGATCCTCGGTCAAGGTCATGTACCTGGGTTGCACGTTCAATCCAGGCCCCGGAACGGGTTGTGGAAGAGGCAACCAATCAATGTGTCTCTTCTCTCTCACATTGAGGTTTCTCTCTCTCTCTCCCTCCCCTCCCACCTTTCTTCCCTTCCACTCTATCTAAAAATTAACGGAAAAATATCCTCGGGTGAGTATTAACAAAAGAAAAGGGGGGAGGCACACAAGTCTTCCTATAACACAGTTCTGTAACGTATATCTTAGGAAATTATGAGGTGAATTAATGAAGAAATTAGGAATAATCATACAATGTCCCAATCACTGAAACTATCCCTGATTTCAGGGGGAGGGGGATAAGGTTGATATCACAATGTAAGAGAGAGCATGAAGAAGGAAAAAGTCATGTGGGAGAAGAATACACAAAACAGCTATAATCCAACACTTTTTTTTTTTAAGCTGGACATTGAGTGTAGATGGAGTTTGGCATTCTGCCATGAAAAATGTTTCTGGGAATCACAGGCGTCTTTGCCCTTGGCCAAAGCACAAATAAATGAGCCATGGACACACTTAAGCTAGACCCTAAGCTGCCTGACACACTGGAAAATATATGTGCCTGCATAACTAGGAGATTCAGTCCTGGGTATGTCCTTGAAACACCCTCTCCCCTCCACACAGGGAAGTTGGTCACACAGGGCAGTACTAAGGAGAGAAATGAGAGTACAAGGAAAGCACAGTAGCCTCAGGAGCAATAAAAGCAATTGGAAACTATGAGATGATCTCAAGGGAGAAAAAAAGAAGAAACTGGTACAAGCACTGTGGAGTGCTTTGTATCACTGCTCTGTCACAGGTACAGGATGCCTCCAAAAAAAAAAAAAAATGCATTCATGTTCCTTGCAAGTGTGCCACTCAGAGAAAAAGTATAAAATACCATTATAAACTGATAAGTGATGGTTGGCATGACAGACTCAAGACATATGTTCAAATAGAAGAATTTCATCCTGATACATTACCTATACCACCACCTTCCACCTCTCCTTCTCCTCACTGTTTTTAATCCTTCATACTACATAGTCCTTTGGTCTGCACAGTGATGTCAACTTGAAATCTCAGACTTGCCCACTATCCCTAAAAACATGTCCTCTGGGGAGGTGGCCTTCTACCAAGCTCCCTCCCCAAATACCACAGCGGTTACCTGGGGTCAGCATTCCTGTGGACTGGGGCCAGCACAGGCTAATTGAACAAGGTCTGTCTGTCACACTCTTTCCCTCTGTGCCTAGCAGCTCTCCAGCTCACAGTTCTCATAGACACATATAGAAATCAAGCTCATTCTCTTTTCCCACTCATTAAAAATAAACCCAAATGGCACCCAGATTTAGAATACACCCATGAAAAAGTAAAAGAGGAGAGAGAGGTGTCCACCCACATAATCTTTCCATTCAAAGAGGAACTATTCTGTAGCTGCTATGGAGTTTATAATTAACAAACAAGCTTAACCAACAACAGAAATTCCTGCAATCTATTGTAATTTACACTAGAACCTTATTTATTCCAAATTTAGATGATAAACATCGGTTGGATTCCACGGTTGAAGCCAAAAGCCTTCTTGGCACACCTCTAGCTCAAGTCTCTTGCAATCACTCAGCCTTGCCTTTAGAGAGCACTGACCTGACCCAACATACAAGCAAAAGCAGAACGGCTGCTCCTCATTCCCAGAGGCCCACGAACCACCCACCACTAGCTCCATGGAGCTGTGTCAGAAGGCTCCACTGGCAGAACATCAGATTGGACTCAGATGTGTTCACCACAGTTCCTTCCACAGACCTCTGTCATTGTGGGACTACAGGGATTTTGTTTCCTTTCTCACCTGCCACCCCAAGTTGAATTTTATCACCCCGGATTCTAAGACAAGAGTATGCAATGTGGCATCCTGAGTGACCAGCTCTGCTGGGACACTATCTGACAGAAGGCAGAGTCACAGAGAAAACAGGAGGGCAAACTGCACAGGCTTCATTTAGCTTTGTGGAGTCTTCTTTATCATTTGAAGCTACTTCAAGAGCTACACTAGAACAAGAAGTCTTCTCCTTTTGCAGGAAAGAGAATTGAGGCTCTGAAATATAAAATCAGAGAGACGTAATGCCTCCACTAAGTTTGTCTGACTTGAGTTCACCCTAACCATGTTGTCTCTGCAGGAGTAATGGAAAGATCTCCTCCTGGTCCCCAAAACACTCCCTTCAAAGGCTGGCCAGGGTATACGCAAGTCCTTCCAAGATAATTGGTGTGAAGTGGGCCTAAAGGGTCCCTAAATCCTGATGGAATGTAGATATTCTCAAAAGAAGGAGCATGACATTGGGCTGTGACCTGCCACTGACACCTCTGTAACACTGGTTGTTAGACACTGGCTCTCACCTTGGCAAACAGAGCAAGAGGAGGAGCTTCATGTAAGACACAAGTGAGTTTTAAAAGAGGAGAGGGAAGAAGACCTTGGTTTTTAATCTCTTCTAATATGAAAAACAATTTTTAAAGTAAAAACTTTTCCGCTTCCTCCATAATAGTTCTATATTATACCTTTGTAATATATTAATTGATAAAACATAACGAATAGGATTTAACTCAATTTATGAATTGGTGACACTGTTAACTAAAATTTTATTTTAGTGAAAAACATGACCTTCTCACATTTGAAAACCTGTATCAAATCAGGTGCATTGTACATATGAACCATGCTACAAACCACTGCCTTGAAATCCCAAGAGTCCAAGGCCACAGGTCCAGAAACCCCTGATTAGAACACTGGGTACTGCTGCAGATGAGCAGGCCTGGTGGGATGTGGCAGGGAGGGTTCCCATGAGGGAACCCGAAAGCAAAGAATGGGGGAAAGCCCATAAATCATGTTTCACATACTTCATAATTCTACTTAAGACCAGCCCTGCAGCCCTTTATCCTGTGGTCAACATAAAAATTAATGGTAAGTTAATACTGACATTTCGGCAGGGGAACTATGAGATGCAGCCACTTGCTATGGGAGGGAACATGAGAAAAGAGAGAGAGTGTGTCACAGAAAAAATTAGCTCATCCTGACACCAAAATGATTTGCCTAAATAAACACAAAAGAGTAAAATCATCTAGAAAAAACAGTAAGACCGTCCTATAATAAAGCTTTGGTATCTTGATTTGATTTGGATTAAATAAAAAAGTCAACAAGTGCCCAGCTGGTGTGGTTCAGTGGTTGAGCATCGACCCATGCACCAAGAGGTCGCCAGTTTGATCCCTAGTCAAGGCACATGCCCAGGTTGTGGGCCCAATCTCCAGTGGGGGTCATGCAGGAGGCAGCCAATCGATGTCCCCTCTCACTGAATGTTTCTCTCTCTCTCTCCCTCTCCCTTCCTCTCTCTCTAAAATCAATAAAGAAAAAAAAAAAAAGTCAGCAAGTAACAAAGAAAATGGCACATGCCATGCTAGTATGACAGATACAGCATGGTCACAGTTTAAGACCCTACCTTATCATTTCTCACCAAAAGGAGACTCATTTAAACATCATCACCACTACTCCAAATGTAGTTGAAATTCAAGACTAAGGAAGTACCTCACAGATAGTTCTACACTATATATACACATACTGAAGGTCAACCTTAGATCCTTTAGACAGAAAAAGTAAAAGGAAAAAGAACTTAAACTAATGGACTTTAAATATACCAGCACTTGTTATCAATAAATGAAAGATCCTAAAACTTAAGGAGTCTAATTAGTCCTCTACCTTTCCAGCTTCTCCTTCCTCACTTACCCTCCATTAACAGTCACACCACAGTAGTCAACATTCCCTCAACAAGGACTGCACCATCATACTCATCTGTTATCACTGGGGACTGCACCATCATACCCATCTTTTATCACAGCATGTTCTTCAACTTACCTCACCACATGAGCTCCCTGGAGGTAAGTCACCACTATCTCATTCAGTTTGCACTCACAACATCAAGTACAGTGCTTAGCCCAAACTGCTTAACAAAAACATGTTGCAGAAATAAACGAATGAATAGCCATTTAGGAGGAAAAATTAGGGGGAAATGCTTCTGATATTGATTCTATAAGGATGACCTATTCACAAAACAATCACAATTAGTATTTAATTATGGGAGAAAACTCTGTTTCTCTAACTCTAACTAGTCAGCTTCCCTCCCCTGATAACTAATACAACATATGTTGTCTAATAAAATGAGAAGGAAAAGTCTGGTTTTCAATCAAAAGGCTTGAATTAGACACAAAAGTTCCACATAGAAGGGGATCTTACACCATTCAAGGAGCCCCCCTGAAAGACAAACACTCGCTGAGGAACCTCCTTCCACCAGCTCTCCCAGCTCCCCAGCCTTTCTCACCAGGCACCAAAGCAGACAAGGGGCACTCACCTGGCTTGTTTCCTTCCCTCTCGTGGCCCAGCTGCCCCTTGGTATTCAATCCACAGGTGTAAACCTCCCCATCCTCCAGCAGGAACACTGAGTGGTTTCCTCCACAGGCGACTTCCTTGACACTTCTGTCTGATATAAATCCATACACCTGTGGCTCAGCCACAATCCCTTGTAGGTTAGTGCTGATTCCAGGCTGGCCCAGAGACCAATATCCCCAACATAACATTGTTCTTATTCTTCAGGGAGTCATGTAGCCTGGAAAAGAGTTTTATAAAAAAAAAAGTTTTAAAAAATTGGTCAGAGGAAATCACATTGAGCAATAAATGTAATCAATTAAAAAAAAAAAAACAAACCTCTAATATTCTTCAGATACCTTGCATCTCAAAAAAATACATATTAAATTTTTTTTCCTTTATTGATTTTAGAGAGAAAGGAAGGGAGAGGGAGAGAGAGATAGAAACATCCATGAGAGAGAACAATGATTGGCCGCCTCCTGCATGCCCCCCACTGGGGATCAGGCCACAACCTGGGCATGTACCCTGACAGGGAATCAAACTGGCGAACTCTTGGTGCATGGGTCGATGCTCAACCACTGAGCCACATCAGCCAGGCTCAAAAAAATACATATTAATATTGTTGAAAGTAGTCATGTTATAATAATAATGCTATTTTTTGTGTTTTAGTTAAGAGTTTAAAAAACATTTCTAAACAAATTTTGTTTGTGTAAATGGACTGTGAACACAGATAGAATATGGTTTTCAGGTCACTGATGAGGAACTGAGTACAAGAGCCTTTCTAAAACAATCTTTGCAAATCACATGGTAAGAAGACTTTTGAAATTACCCTCATGACTTTACCTTGTCCTTTATCATTGCACTTTTCCTGTGAGTTTTCTACTTACTTAATTTTAAAAATTTTTAGGTAGCCTACTGTTAGCTTGGATAGTAACTCACCACTCAAATGAAAATGAGAAATGGAGCCCTGGCCGGTTTGACTCAGCAGTTACAGTGGCGGCCAGAGGACCAAAGTGTCTCGGGTTCGATTCCTGGTCAAGGGCACATACCTGGGTTTCAGGTTTCCCTGGCTGTGGTTGGGATCATTTGGGAGGCAACCAATAAATATGTCTCTCTCTCTCTCCCCCCTTCTCTCCCTTCCACTCTATCTAAAAATCAATAGAAAAATGTCCTCAGGTAAGAATTAACAAAAAGGGAGAACAGGAGGGGGAGCTACGATGGTACATTGACACAAAAACCTATAAACAATGCTCACAGCAACTTTATTCATACTAAAAAATGTCCTCAGACATGGATACACAGACTGCAGTATATTTATATAATGGAATACTACTCATCAATAAAAAGGAAAAGGGGGAGGGGAGAGACCATGACTGAAATGTACTTAATGTAATAGAAAATTGGAACTCAATGTGGTAGCAACCTTTCTGAAGAATGAAGATTAGTTTTTAAAAATAGGAGACTTGACTTGGGGTGGTGAACACACAGTACAATATACAGATGATGTATTATAGACTTGTACACCTGAAACCTATATAATTTTATTAACCAATGTTACTCCAATAAATTTAATTAAAAATAAATACAAAGTTACTCAAGGGTGTTATTGATTGTTTTTTATCTGTCTAATATCTCTCCCTTGTTGTCCTGTAACAAACTCCACCCCTTCTTGCACAAGGGTGAGCATGAACCTGGACAAACCAGAGAACACCAACCCTAAGCTATTGTGATTGGTGTGGGAATAGGTTTATACTTCTAGCTGAGACAACGCCCAGAACCATTAAGTTCCATGAAGTTCTGATGAAAGAATGCTTCTGAAGTATAACTGAGACTACTGGAAGCTACCTTCCCTGTCACATGGAGGATACCTGTAAGACATTACAAAGCAACCAGCCACAGAAGTTCAGAGATAAGAGACAGAAAAAGTCCCAGTGATATTAATTGAGCCTTGGATCCCCTCTTGCCTGGTGCCAACACCATCACCTTCACTCTCAGGTTCAATTTACAGTTGTTCTTCGTTATTTGCAATTCCATACTTCTGAATTTGCCTACTCACTAAAATTTATTTGTAGCCCCAACATCAACGCTCAGAGAATTTTTGCAATCATTCCCAGACATATGCAAAGAGGTGAAAAATTTGAATCACCCTATGCACATGTTCCCAGCTAAAGTCAAAGAAGATGATGCTCTGCCTTCTTGTTTCAACTCTCAAAAGTGGTCTTTTCACAGTCTGTTTAGTGCCATGTTTTTCACATTTTTATATATTTTTTGGTAATTTTGATGTTTAAAATGGCCCCCTAAGCATAGAGCTAAAGTACTACAATTAGCCATTAAATTCACCTAGCCACTTGCCTTGCTTAGATTCCATGATTAATTAAGCAATCTTAAATAACTTGTTTTCCAAAGCAGATCCTACTATGCAGAAAGAACACTATGACCAGCTGGCCAAAGCATCCCAAGCTTCTTGGCATTTCTACTTCTCATTTTTAATTCAGCATCCTGGATCTATCAGCTTCTTATAAGTTTGTTTAGCATGAGTCAGTCCTTGAGGATCAGCTACATTCTGAGTGCTTTGAACAACTGCAAGCCTGAGTAAGCAGCCTGAAGTATGGCCTCATCTTTAATTGACCAATAGAAACCATTTATGAAAACGCAAATACAATTATTCTTTAAAATCCTTCCCACCTGAGTTATAATAATGAAATCTTCAAACAGTCAAATAAAAAGTACTTACTAAGAGAAGCAACTAAATGGCAACCACAAATAAGCTGTATGCCTATGAATTGATTATTAACCCTAATAGGAAATCTAGTCTAGGTCATCATGATGCTTGGCCAAAACTACAACAGGAGGCACAAAAATCATCTCATTTGCAGGGAAGAAGTTTAGTGCATTGAAGAGAAACCAGCCATTAATACAGCTTTCACCTATAAGTATACTCTGGTGGAACCCCCATATCTAGTAACTAATGGTGTCCATGAATTTAAAGATCCAGTTTCAGCAGTGTTCTTTATCACTTGGCATTTGCTATGGTGGGTTCTCCTACCCACTTTTTCTCATGCACTGTCTCGAAGTTGCTTCTAGAGAAGTAGAATCTTTTATCATGAAAGGTGCTAGAGAATAGAAGACTCCAGTCTGGCTCAGAACTTATACCAGCCACCTTGGCTGTCCCAGGCCAATTCAGTCCCAGCCCTTCCATTTCCTGCCTCTTATTTCCCCATCACAAAACAAGAGAAAGAAAGACCAATGTTAGTTCCCTCAGGGTCACACCTGTACTTTTCCTAGTCCTTCTCATCTATTTTTGGTAAAAGATTCAGGAGACTGTTAGCATGGCATAAGGATCAAAAGGACTAAATTTCAAGCCCTGAATTAACCACATGTTAGCTGTGAAACCCTGGGGAAAATATTTAGCCTCTCTAAATCTGCTTCCTGTCTCTAAAGTGGGGAAAAAAGTGACAGGGTTGTGAGGAATAATGACACAATGCATGTAAAGAGAGCTAAACATGGTACCTGGCATACAGTGTAAGTTACCAATAAATGTCAGCTCCTGCAGTCACTGTTACTCCTATTTCCAGTGCTCTGCTCTGAGACCTCAGCAAACAGGATAGTTCTCAGAAGAGGCTGGGGGGTGGAGGTTGGGTGTGACTCCTTTCTTTTGTGGTTAGTATTAGCTATGTTCTGTCAAACCTGCATTACAGCAAACCAGCACTACCACCATCTGCCATCACGTTCATGAAGGGGATTTGAAGTTGCTAGAAGAAAAGTTTTTGCATGTATTTTCTTTTAAATTCTGGGGAGGGCAAGAGGGTAGATAAATGTCTTTTTATCAGTCCTAGTAAGATGAGTGCAAAAGACAAACTGCAGTTCCTAAACTTTGTCTTAGGAATCAGACTATGCACACAGCAGCCTAACAACCGATTCTTATTCCTTTGGTTGAAAGTTATTGAAACCTATATAACACTCAGATAGTTCTTCTAATGTTACTTATAACAAGGACATGCTTCCTTTTAAATATGCTTTGAAGCCATTACCTGAATGGTGTATGGGAAAAGGAGGATCTTTTTCAATAGCAGGAAAAGACAATGTCCAAGGTTTCAGTGCTCTGCAGGCAAGCCCCAAATCCAAGCTTTAAATGCATTTGGTGCCAAAACTCAATGCGGAATTAATTCCAGTGACAAAGAAGATTCATTCTAATGACATGCTTTATTGTCCAAAATTTTACTACCATAGGCAGAAATGGCACAATTGGGAAAATGGGTTTTAAACAATGGGAACCTACTGCTCACTGTCTTCTCTCTCTCTTTTACTTCATCTGGACTTTGGTCCTCTGACCCTTGCGCCAACCCAAGAAACAATCCAACCCTTCCTCTGCTGATCCCAGCACAGGTAGCACCTTCTTCCCTACTTGGTGCTGGGCTTCGTTAAACTAGAAGAATGATCTCTCCTCTGTCTGCATCAGCTGTAGTGTGTCTTCAAAAGACACTTGCTCAGAATGGCAAGAACTGAAAAGACTGACAGTGGCCAAGTCAAGGATATAGAGCAACCAGGACTCTTCCACACAGCTGGTCAGAGTATAAATTGGCATTGACCACTTTGGGACAAGATAGAAGGTAATAACTTTGGGGGCAGTAGAGATGGAGGGGTACAGTCTGGAAGGAGCACAAGGAAAGCTTCGATAGTATAGCTGATGTTCTGCCTTACATTGTTCTTTCTTAGCATATATATTACATTATGCTTACAAATACTTCACAATGAAAGAAAAGAAAAAGTACAGGATCACTGCTTCTTTCATCTCATCCACCACTTCCCTGTTCATGCTCAAACTGCGACCTTCTCCGTGGAGGGGACCAGGTTTTACTTATCTTTGTATTTCTAGTTTTCAGCATAGTACATTAGCACAGTAGATGCTTATTAAGTGCCTAATGAACTGAACTCATATCTGAGAAAATCATAACTCCCACAATCTAAATTTTTAAGTTTTGTTTTCCAGGTAATGTTAAATATAAACATTCCCTATGCAGTGACAAAAAATAATTTCCTCCAGCCCTGGAAGGTTTTGCTCAGTAATTAAAGTGTCAGCCCCAGGACCAAACAGTCTTGGGTTCGATTTCTGGTCAAGGGCACATACCTGGGTTGCAGGTTTGATCTCTGGCCCAAGTCGGGGTTGTGAGGGAGGCAACCAATCAATATGTCTGTCTCACATTGATGTTTCTCTCTTTCTCTCTCTCTCCCCCACCCCCTTCCTTCCACTCTATCTAAAAAAAATCAATGGAAAAATATCCTCAAGGGAGGATTAACAAAATAATAATAATTTCCTTTATTCTAAAATGCACTCTCCCCTCACCACATTTTAGCAGATCTTAAAGTAGAATGCCTTTAACAGTCCAAGCTGTCATTAAAAAGTGGTGTTTCTCAAGGCTAAAACTGAGGAATATAAGCTCCATGAAGGAAGGACTGAGCCTCCTCTGTTCATGTCCCTATCCCTAGAGACTAGAATAGTGTCTGGCACATAGTAAGGGCTCAATAAATAGTTGCTGAATATAGAAAAAGTAATAACTGCTATTACTGTAAGCCTGCTATACATCTGAGTCTGTGCTAAAAACTTTACACAGATTATTTAATGTGCCCTTAACAGTAACCTCAAGACTTAGCAAGGTTAGGTCACTTGCCCAGGAACATGTAAATAAGTAGCTAAAATAAAAACTAAGTGGCAAAGGCAGGATTCTAACTTTTAGGTAACCAGAACCTATGTTAGCCAGAGACGGGAAGGGTGAGTGAAGCAATCGCAACAGAGTTAGCCAGTCTTCCCTCCATGTCCACCCTGACTTACAATAAAACTAGTTCACTTACTGGTTCACACATAAAAACACATGTCCCTGACACCAGCAAGTTCCATTTCTAAATGCAGAAAATGTCTAAAAGAGGTAGAGATCACCTATTAAGGAGACCTTAAAAGTCCATTTAATCTAACCTCTAGGCAAGAGATTTACATTCCTAACCTCATTTTAATGGCAGCTGAGGCCTTCCCGGGCCAAGCAATCTTGGTCCTCTGAGAAGTAAGTGGTTAAAGAAGAGACTGAAAACTAGGTCTTCTACCTCCTGGGCTTACCTGGTTCTCTTCACTACATCGCAGCAAAAGAAAGTCATTAAGGATTTGTTAAGGTCCCTCCCTAGGCAGCTTTACTAACCTGAGTTCTTTCTATAGATTATCTTGTTGAATCCTCTTATCAATTCTGTAAGTTAGACATTATCTTCATGTACAAAATGAGGAAACTGAGGTTCAGAAAAATTAAGTAACTCACCACAGATCATACACTTGGCATTTGGACTAGGAGCCAGAATGGTTACCCCTCACCCTACAGATCTGCAAGTTAAAGAAATAAAAAAAATTAGTACATAACTTTATAAAGTACCTTCATGTTACTGAAAACAAAAGAAGTCAACTTCTGAAAATAAGAATATCTTTAAACTATGCAAGCTTGAATATGCCCCAAACATTGTATCTCAAGACTGGAGTTTGGTTAAATACCAAGGAGAACCTCTAATCAACTAAGAAATCAACTCTAAAACTGAACTAGTGATACTGATAGCACTTTTAAAAAGTCCAGGCATTTGTAGCAGATACTAAAGTAAAAATGAAATTATTTGTAAATCCCCCATTTAGGTTAAAAAGATAAATTTTTGAAAATATAATTTAATTTTGTCTGTTTTCCTCCATGTACCACAAATATTATAGCTTATTTTGCCACCACTGGTTTTGAAGACTTTCTGGTATTTTCCTTTCCTTCCGACACCACATCCTCTTTCATACAAAACAAGATGAGACTGAGACCTTCAGCCTCTCAAAAGGAAAGGCCCTAGCCCTGGCCAGTTTGGCTCAGCAGTTAGAGCATCAGCCTGTGGACTGGAGAGTACTGGGTTCAGTTCCCGCTAAGGGCATGTACTTTGGTTGCAGTTTGTTCCCCGGCCCTGGTTGGGTCATGTGGGTGGCAACCACTCTGTGTGTTTCCCTCACATCTATGTTTCTTTCTCTCTCCTCCCCTCCCCCCATCTGAAGATAAATGCAAAAAAGGCCCAGGGTGAGGATAAAAAAAAAAAAGAAAGAAAGAAAAGGCCCTAAATGATTTTTAAGATATTATCATAACTTTATTTCTATCTTATGTAGAAAATCCCATTCACTTTGGAGAGTATTACTTTTATTTCTTAAACTGACTCAAAACTATCTTGTATCTCTAGTAGGGGTGCAACTCTATGTATTAACTTTTTTAAATTATTATGCAAATCTTAAGAAATTCAAATCTGTTACTCAGAATGAAATGCCATAACCAATAGTTCCTACCACACCATTTGGAACATTTTAGATTGTTTGTTTTTAAAAAAAATAAAAACCTAACTGTGTACTGGACAAGTAAAAAACTGCATGTTAATCAATTTTTTTTTTTTTTTCATGCCAAAATTGTTTTTCCAAAGAGGTTTCAAACCTTCCTCCTTGATTTCTGAACACTTTCTCCAGAAGGTTCCTAACTCAGTGTGGTCAATGATGTGTAATTAATCTATTTTGCTTTAAAGGAGGGTTAAATATATTACTCCCTTTTTCTTATTTATGTCATTCCCCTTCCCCCAGGGTAAAGGAAAGTACAAAAAGAGAGTGGCACAGTGATCTGCCTACTAAAACAAGATCCCTCTCTATCTGGTCACTTCATTTAAAAAGGCCATTAACCCACCCTGGCTGGTGTGGCTCAGCGGTTGGTGCGTCAGACCATGGACCACGGAGTCCCGGGTTTGGTTCCCGCAAGGGGCACGTACCAAAAAATAAATTAAAAAGGATATTAGTCCTCGTTTTATTTCACTTTTCTTCTCCTCAGTGTGGAGTTAAAAATCAGCTCACTAGACTTTATCAGATTATCAAACGAAAGGTTCTAGAAATAGCTTTCTATTTGTGGAAAGAGCCGAAAACACATAAAGCTGGAAGAGCTACTGAATCTTCTTTCCTAAAGTATTCCGTGTGTAACGAATGCAAAAAAAAAATCCTGGAAGGCTTCGCTCTGCATTTAAGGTACTTCCTAACGTGGCTGATTTAAAACTAAAGTAACATGTAATCAGAAAACAGCTAGAAACAGGAGCTATTAAGAGCAAAGTTCAAATACATATTCCTCAGGGCCCACTGTGCATATTCCCCAAATCAATGCACAACTGCTTTAGGTGCTGTCTCTACCGCACTCCCCGGCTCCTCTGTTTCAGGGTGACACACGCTCTTCTCTGGGAGTTGTCCTGGTTTCCTCACTCCATACCTTTACAAATGACTCAAAGTGCCATCTGCCCCCAACCTCCCAGCTCCTGACACCCCCGCGTCAGTCCGCATACTTAACGTGCGCACAGGCGCGCGCGCGGACACGCACACACTCTCCCGCGCGCACGTGTCCACACACACACCCCACCCCCCTCGCCCGGCTCCGCCCAGGAGGAGAACTTGGGCCAGAGGAGCCTGACACGGCCTCCGCGAGGTGGGTGGTGCCGGGCGCCACAGCCCCACGGGCGCTGGCCCCACCGGTGCTGTCACCGCGGACGCTGAGCCCCACGTCCTCAGCGCAAACTCCTCGCTGCCGCTGGGGTTCCTTCAAACACGGGGCCTCGCCGGCTCCCATTTCGCCGGGAAGCGTCCGCGCCCCTCACCGCCAAGGTGTCTCGGGAGCCCCAGAATTTAAATAAGGACAGGAGAGGAGGAAGAGGAGGATCCTCTTTTTTACTTTCCGCGTCGCAATTCCTTCAGGACTGCGAATAACCGAGTCAGGGTTGGGGGCGCTCCGAGTTTTAAAGCTGCTCCTGGCCTTTCAGGGCGCGGGGGCTCTTTTGATCAGAGGGTGAGCCCCGAGAATGCCAGGGAGGTGCACAGGAGGCCCAGAGGCGCCCCGCAGGCACTGCAGACTCCCTGCCCGACCTCCCCGCGCTCCCAGCTCCGAGTCGTTGCGGCTCGCACCCTGCAGCAGTAGCTGCCCCTCCAGGAGCCGCGCTCTGACAGCTGTGCCCTGTGGAACGCGGCGGCCGCACGGCTGCGGCTCCACGGCGCCCTCCTCCCTGGAACCCCGACTCCTGCCCCACGCACCTTGCTGGGCGCCGAACTGCCCCTCGGGATTCCGACTGTAACAGCCCCTCTGGCCGGACTCTGGGTTTCTCCGTTTTCGGCGTCACAATAATAAGGAAGTTTCCCCGCAAGCCTGCGGGTGGCGGAATGCGCCGGTGAATGACTTCCCACCTGTCCAATGGGCGCCCTTCTGGGGAGGGCCGCCACCAATGGCGGCCGCGGCAGGGTCGAGGGCGGGGCGGCGGGGTCCGAGGGCTGGAGGCGGGGAGAGGCCCAGGGCCGGGAGGGAGGAGGGGGCGGCTTGAGGTGACAGGACCCGCGGGTCCGCCAAGGGGACAGCAGCCAGCCGATGGCCAAGATCCGATTGCAGGACACAGAGCGTTGGCGCGAGAATAGGATTGCTTTTCACTGGCGGGGAAGCGAGCGAGGCTGATCAGCGATGGTTTTTTTAGGTCTGGGCGAGGGTCTTATTTATGCAGAGGTGACCACAAACCTTGGACACGGTGGCAGGGGGAGCTTGCAGGGGGAGCTAGCGGGGTGGGGGTGGGGGGAGCTGAGGATGAGTGTTTTATTCCACGGTGCAGCAGTCTTCTATTTCACTGGCCTTGGGAGGACTAGAAGAAGCGCGGAGCCGAGTGGTGGGAGAGGCAGGAAGGAGGTCGCGAGTAGCGAGCGGGTCAAGCTGTCAAGGCAGCAAAGAGGGTTTGGGGAGGGTTGGAGGGTGGCGGCAGGGGGAGCATGAAAAGAAGTCAGAGTCGGAGACCTTAAGTCCTATCATCTGAAAGATACCGTGTGGCCTAAAAACCACAAATGGACACAAAGGTTTGTCCTTCCTGACGCTGAATTTCAGAGCTTACGTCTCCTGAAAGCAAGGTCAAAATGCTTTCAGAGTTCCCCCCTAGTCCTTGTCTGATCCACAGAAAACCTTTTGAAGTAAACATTCTCACAAAGGTGACTTCTTGTGTCTACTGATCCTCCTAAACCCTTGTTTGAAACGCAGAAACAGAACCCGGGGCAAGCACTACTTTAACCCAAAGGAATGACTTGTTTAATGGAATGATTTCTGTAACCTGGCATTTGAACTGGATTCTTTGAGGTCAGATTCTTCACGAAGATGTTCAAATCAGATCAGGTCTGCAACCACCTGCTCTGAGAATCTAATAGATTGGCTGAGCAGAAAGAAGTTTTAGAGTGGTGTATCCTGGGGTTGGAGCACTTTTGGCTGGCATATGAACTCTCAATGACATAAGGAAAGTTGTCAAATGCTCCTGAGATAAGAAAGTAGAATCTCAGTTATCAGGTAGCTAAGATCATATAAGAAAATAATTACAACTTTTGAAGTTTCAATCACATTGGACACCTTTAGAAACACTTTGGGGCAAGATTAACACATTTCCCTTATGCTCCAGAGAGGTAGCAGTCTCACAAAATCCAGGTCTCACAAAGATATGTAGATCTCCAGAAGAAAGATTCATTTGATGTGAACTATGACTCCCCATGATCAACTAAGAACCCACATTTTCTGAGTAAGAGTCTAGCGGCCATTTGCTAGCAGGGGCTCCTCACCTGCTCTGTATGTGGGAAGATCCTCAAACTGAACTCTGATTCTCACAATATACTCTGCTTGTTTATCCTGAGTCAACCACTGCAGGGAAACCCTGGTTTCCTTTTTTTTTCTTTATTATTTTAGAGAGAGAAGAAGTAAGAGGGAGAGAGATAGAAACATCAATGAAAGAGAACATCAGTTGGCTGCCTCCTGCATGTCCCCCGCTGGGGATGGGGTCCACAACCTGGGCATATGTCCTGACCGAGAATCAAACTGGCGATCTCTTGTGCATTGGTCGAAGCTCAACCACTGAGCTACACCAGTTGGACCTGATTTCCTCTTTATATCAACAGATTGAGACCTGCCTCATTCAATCAGAACTATACAAAGTGTATCCTCATTTACAGCTATACCGACCAATCAGAACTACACAATTTGCAAGTCTCATTTGCATAAAATTGGGATCTGCTGCAGAAACTTTCTCTATAAAAGATGACCTCCCCTTTGTCTTGGTGGAACACCATTTAGGTTGCTACCTGAATCTGTCTTCCAGGCTGCAGCTCCTTTTGCTCAAATAAATGCTTTCTACTCCTTATTACATTCTAAAACTAATTTTGGTTTACAGACTTAATCCCAATTTAAAGATGGTATCACCAAAAAGAATGGGGGGAATAGTCAAAGAGGAGTCATGATAGAAAGGGGGAAATTTGAGGAGGAGAAAAGTAGAATCTATTTTCATGTGTCAAATATGAGGTTTGTAATCAATCAGCATTTGGGTAAACATATCTGGCCCATGGTTCAGGTGTTTTTCACATGAAATTTCATCTTGAGGATAAGGATGGTTATCAAAGACTCAAACCTGGAGGCGGGATGGGAGTGATATCTAAATGACCAACTCAGGTACTATAAGCTTCCTTACCAAATCAAATAAACAGTCAGAACCCTGGGAAGTTGCTCATATGTGATCAGTGAAGATAGCCATAGTACTTCATTTTCTTAAATAAGCCAACCTAAAATGGCAGTTTCCTCAGCAACATGTCCTGCTCCATTTACTAAAATAACTTTAAATGGCCCAGCACCAACAATAATCATAACAGCAAATACCTAAACTGTTTTGAGGAGGCCATGGTTTACTTTTTCTTTCCATTTCTATAGTACTGTCTTTCATCTATGTCTTTCTGACTTCCCATATGTTCCCTAACAAATATATATTAACCATCTATTATAATGCCAGGACTTGTGGATATATTGGTGAGCAAAACACAGTTCCTATTACCTTGAAGGAGGAAAACATTAACCAAATAATCACACCAAGGACTTTATGGTTGCTAACCATGATAAATTTTATGAAATAAAAACATTCATTTAAAAATAAAAGATTTAACCCAAAAAAACTAAATAAAATTGAGCTCTAATTAATGCTATACATGCTGAAGTATTTAGGAGGAGTGTACTGATGTCTGAAACTTATTTTGGAATGTATATTTTAAAAGATGGATTGAAGGATGGATAGAGGGATGTATAAACGGGTACATATGTGATAAATCCAGTATGACAAAATGTTATAGACTCTCCATGGTGGACAGATGGGTTTCACTGTACCTAACTTCCAACTTTTGTATGTTTGAAAAGTTTACATTTTAAAATGTTGGAAAATAAAAATAATAAATAATTAAAGGTATAATTCATTCTAACCATCACCTTGACCAGTGGAAGGGATCATTATGGTCCTGCTGTGGCCTGGAGCAGAGGAAGAATCCCCAGTGACAAAGGGGATGATTCAGAGTGCTGCAATTCCACCTCAACAAACCAGTTGGCTCCATTCGGTTTTTGTTTTTGTTTTTTTTTTATCCTCACTTAAAAACATTTTTGCATTTATCTAGAGGGGGAGAGAGGGAGGAAGGAAGAAAGAGAAAGAAACATCAATGTGAGAAAAACACATCAACCGGTTGCCACCCACACCACCCCAACCAACCAGGGCCCAGAAATAAACAGCAACCAAGGTACATGCCCTTAGAGGAACTGAACCCAGGACTCTCTGGTCCGCAGGCTGACACTTTAACCACTAAACCAAACCTGCCAGGGCATTGGCTCCATTCTTCACAGCTCACTTCTTGAAATTCATATGCCTATTTTGAATTGTAAGGTTTTTTTCAGTACAGTAGGAATACTGATTAGTGATTATTGTTTTCTGTGTTTAATTGCCCTGCAAACAAACATTTGTTTGGTAAACTTAGAAACAGACTTTGACATGTCAGATCAAACCTGTAGGGAAAAAACTATGTCAGCCACAACATTCTGTCTTTCAGATATACTTTTCAATAAGTGTCTTCACCTCTGGAAGGAAAAACACTGATTACTTGACAGATAATGTGTGTGCACCCTGTAAAACTGCAGATTGGCAAAGGTGTTTCTTAGTCACTCCCACACCACTACCCCACCCCCCAAATATTAATTTTTTCAGTCTAGTCAATAGGGAAACATTGCTTGTAAAACATATTTCTCTATTTCTGGTTGTTTAATACATTTTATCTAAGAGGTCAATATATACCCAGGCTAAATTATCTAAGCTTATTGAAAACTGTCCTGTAACATACACTATTAACTTATTAATGTGAAAAATATCTTGGCTAAAAGATGTAGTAAATTAATATTGCCATCAATAAAATAACTATTATGTATTTATTGGATGTCTTCTATGTGTAGTATTGCTGGACAAGAAGCATCATTTCATAACAGCCATTATACCATTCCTTTGTTTTTCTTGAAACAATTCATAGTGTAAGTTTGCAACTTTTTCTTTCAAGCCATTTGAATGAAGCACAAATACCTTACATTAAATATAAGAAATTAACCAGAATCATATTGGTTAAAATAAATTAATGTTAATAAGATTGGATGCTTGAGCATTTTCTAAGAAAGGCTTTAGCATTAGCATTGGTTTGTCCCTGAAGAATGTATGCAACAAAGCCTTTGGGTAGAGACATCTTCCATGAAGCTCTCTTTTTTCACAAGGTCCCAAAACTTTACACTCTTGTAAATAGCATCCAACCTATTACTGTGATTGTTCTTACAACACAAGTACTTAGGGAATGCAGCAAAGAGAATATCTGTTGCTATGTAGCTGCACAGTATGCCCATATTTTAACTACCAAAATTCAAGCAAAAAGACCAAATTCTTACCCTTCAAGATGAAAAAGACCAAATTCTTCAGTTTATTTGTGTCAAATCAAAATAAAACCATCATAACAACAACAACAAAACAAACAAACCAAAAACCCATTAACAAAACCCTTTCTTTGAAGTTTGATTAAGTATGGGTCAAATGAAATTTAAGGAATTTTATTATAACATAGAAAAGCTAAAGTGAGCATATGGAATTTTAAAAGAGCATACATATAACAATATTAGACAGCTTTATAGGTTGGCCATAAATTCTGGAAAAAGACGCATAATAAATGGTTTGTTTTCCAACATTGTAATACATGATGTGCTTGATGACATTACATGATGTTAAATGTGTTGTCCCTTGTAGCAATGCATAATTCATGGTGCAATGAGTGTGGTGCATTAATACACCATTTTCTTTCATTCTAGC